ACAATAGTTACTATACTGCATAAAATACATAAATAGTATGACCAAGTAAGGAAAAGTTTACAGGTAGATATTTACAAATACAATAATTTACAATTTATATATTTTATTGTTATTCTGACTGTCAAAATATATTATAACTCAATAAACACAAAAATTCAAAAATCATTGATATTACTATTCATAATATAAACTAACAAACTTAGCATCTTGTCACCAGCAATATGTTTTAGAATTTTGTTAATAATAACCATTATTAGATAATTTATATTATTAAAGTATGGTGGATCTAACCTGCTTATTTTATTGTAGTGGTTAGCCTTAAGTTGCTGGATTACTAATTTTGTCCTGCTTTTGTTAATAGTAATAAATAGTTTAGCGGTACATCCAATTTTGAAAAAGCTAAATAAAAAAGTATAAAAGCTATATTGCTATTTTAACTAATGAGGTTTATAGAAAAGAAATAAAAAGTATATTGAATCTGTATAGGAGTGAATGCACGAAAAAAGAACTTTTCAGAAAAAAGAATATTTCAGGAGGGAGGACAGTTCTTTTGTAGGTTTTCCTCTTTTTCGATATCTATAAGATTAATTTGCTGATTAATATGCACCGTTTATTTCGATGTAAAGTAATTTAATATAAAGTGTATAAATATAAATGCCCTGACTATATTAATATATTATTATTAGAAAAATTAACAAAAAGTATAATTTATGATATATTACCCAGCTAGCACATTGACGTTGGCCCAACGTCGGATCGACGTCAAAAAATTCGTTGGCCGATGGTCAGCAACCGACGTCGAGCCAACGTGGATTTAATAGTCGACGCAACGTCGCATCCAACTGTTGGGCTAACGTTGGCCCGACGTCGAACTCCAAAGTTGGGCATTTTGAAGTTGGTCCGACGTAATATTTAAATAATAATAGTTTTAATTTGTTTTCAAAAACTTTGTTTTTGATTCAAAAGGTGTGCTTATCTTTTGAATTAAAAACAAAGTTTTTGAAAACAACTTAAAACTATTTCTTCGACTAAAGTGCAACGAAAGTAAATTACATTTTTTTAAAAAAGGCGCAACTATTTCTTAAAATAAAGACCAACCATTTCTATAAATAAAGTCCTACCAATTTTTTATATAATGTGCAACCATTTCTTTAAATAGTGCAACTATTTTAAAAAGTGCAACTATTTCTTTGTAATGTTCATTAAAATGCAATGTCCAAGTAAGTTTAAATAAAATTTGATGATGAATCAACTTTAATTTAACAATTATATCGAGAAAATCAAAACTTGTTGTAATAACTATTATAATTATGTTAAAATATTCGTACAAAATATATTCAAACATATTAATGTTCTTCTCAACTGCTAAGCATCCTTACGAATCTTGAATCTTCACTTCACTTGAGAGCAACTATAACGTTCGAATGCTCCTCTTGATACAATTGATAGAAATCTTTGAACTTGCATTTTTTGTTTGACGAGCTTTAGACATTGCCACAACTGCTGCTAAAACTATAAGAATTATAACTCAGACATTAGTGTGTGTTTATATATATATATATATATATATATATATATATATATATATATATATATATATATATATATATAATATATATATATATATATATGAATATTTAAATATATTTAAGCAGAAAACCAAATAAGCTTTTGTTGTTATTTGTACGACGCGCCGTGCAAATAACAGCCCGACGGTCGTGCTGTTATTTGCACGACGCTGTTATCAGCACGACGCGCCGTGCAAATTTGCACGACGCACGTAGGAGTATTTGACGATTTTAGCTGGCCAAAATTGGAATTATTAAAAGTGGCCGTACCCACTTAATTACCTACCCTTATTATCTCTCGATAATGGTCGCTTAATGAGCAGTTAATGGTTTGGTTATAAAAGTAGTAATTGGAACTACACAGTCTAGTTAAATATCCGATCTATATCTGCGTGGTTCATTTTATTTACGAGCGATTTTAGTGGTGTTTATTGAAGCTGTGTACAAGTGTTTACAACAGAAGTTTTACAGTGTTATATCATGGATGAATCTATGACAGGTATGTACATTACTTACTCTTACTACCGTTTTGAAATATTAATTACCACAAAAGTTATGTACCATGAAACTTAGCATTTTTTTAACGAATTTTATAGTAAATTTTGACTTTAAAATTAAAAAAGTTGTAGTGCGCATTGAAACCCTTTTAGTTTTTTTCGTTTTTCTATGAGTTTATACCACTAGCTATTTAAAAATTTTAATTTTAACTGCCTGTTGATGCCATCTAAATTTTAATCATGTTCTAAGCACATCAAGGTCAGGGTTATATATATATATATATATATATATATATATATATATATATATATATATATATATATATATATATATATATATATATATATATATATATATATATATATATATATATATATATATATATATATATATATATATATATATATATATATATATATATATATATATATATATATATAATAGTCATCAAGGTCAGGGTTATATATATATATATATATATATATATATATATAGTCAGGAATATATATATATATATATATATATATATATATATATATATATATATATATATATATATATATATATATATATATATATATATATGTATATATATATATATATATATATATATATATATATATATATATATATATATTATTATTATTATTATTGCTATTATTATTATTATTAAGGTTTACAAATTGGATTTGTATAGACATGAAATGCCTGTCAACCTGTCTTATGGTTACTATATGAATATACTAATCATAAATTGTTTTTTCTTCTTATATATATATATCTATATATATATACATCTATATATATATATTATATATATATATATATATATATATATATATATATATATATATATATATATATATATATATATATATATATATATATATATATATATATATATAAATATATATATATATATATATATATATATATATATATATATATATATATATATATATATATATATATATATATATATATATATATATATATATATATATATATATATATATAGATGGCATCAACTGCCTGTTGATGCCACCTAAATTTTAATCATGTTCTAAGTACATCAAGGTCCAATATGAATTTTTCAACTTAATTTTTTATTTCTAGATGGGTCATCAGGAATGCAAACAATCTCTCGTTTGGATTTCTACAACAGTATTCAGCAGCAGGAGGCTACAAACTTCAATGAAAAAATGGACTTAGCTGATCAAAATTTGTTATCAAGAAATCAATATACCGAAGAACTAAAAACAGTATACAAGCGTCAAATGTCGAGGTTGAAAGCTATTTTTAGAAAAATGTGGTCGTCTTCATCCAGACCTCATGAAATATTTTGAAGCATGACCCTTGGCTGCAAGGGAGTTTCCAAATACCGGGTACCCCATCCACTCCATCATCAGCCGGACGACCAAGAAAAAGTTTTGTCGATTCTAGTGAACGTTCAAAGAGGAGAAAAACAGAACAGCTCAGGAAAGATGTGGAACCAGAAGCTATTGTTTTTGCAGCTGAAACTTGTTTGACAACAAGTGGAAAAAGAAGTGCTGCAACCGTCCTCAAAGATCTTAAAACATCTCCCAAACGAGCTTGAAAGTATAAAAAAGCCTATCGCAGCAGTCTATAGAGGCTCTTTTAATATTTACTGACGCAGGCCTAACAAAATCTCAATATGAAATCGTACGTACAAGTGACAAGAAACAATGGCCCTGCTACAATATTTTGGTCGAAGAAAAAAAAACATGCTATCCTGATCCTGATTCGTTCACAGTCACAGAAAGTTTAGCTGAAGTAGACTTACAAAGTCTGTTAAACCATACTGCCGAAAGATTGGTGTTGTATTTAGAAGAAGTTATCAAGACTCAAACGGAAAGTGGGCGTAAACATATGAAATTATCTACGAAATGGGGTTGTGATGGCTCCCAGCAGACACAGTTTAATCAAAAGTTTGAGGATGACTCTAATTCTGATGCCAGTATATTTCAATGCTCAATGGTTCCATTACAGCTAACTTGTGGAGTAAATAAAAAGGTTATCTGGCAAAACCCTACACCATCGTCTCCAAGGTTATGCAGGCCAATTCGAATTAGGTTCATAAAAGAAACTGCTGATGTAATAGCTGAAGAAATTGCTTACATAGAAAACAAAATTGCAGGCTTGAAACCAACTCAACTTCAAGACATAGCAGTAGAACATGTGATGATGTTAACTATGATTGACGGAAAAGTCTGTAACGCAGCAACCACCACTAAATCGACCATGCGATGTTATATTTGTGGAGCAACATCAAGACAATTTAATGATTTGGACAGAACATGTGTTGACAATCAAAGCAGCTACAAATTTGGACTATCCATTCTGCATGCTAGAATACGGTATTTTGAAAATCTCCTTCACCTATCATATAAATTGCCTGTAAAAAAATGGCAGAAAAGGCTGAATGAAGATGAGAAGAGACTCATCTCAGATAGGAAAAAGAAAATCCAAGATGAATTCAAGAGCAAAATGGGCATTCTTGTCGACATACCTATGGTTGGATATGGGAATACCAATAACGGCAACACAAGCAGGAGATTCTTCAACGACCCGAAAACATCTGCAGATATCACTGGAGTAGACTTCCGTTCCAAGATTCCGACACTGAAAACAACGAAAATGAAGAATATTCTGACAATGACGAAGTGGAATCTAATTAAATATCAAAATATAGTATGTTATTTACCATAGTAAAGTTTGAAAAATAATATATCTTTTATTTCCTCAAATCCTATTGAATAGAATAAAATGTAATCCCTAAAGTACCCATCTTTCCCCTATATTGAACGCCACTGGCTTGGATTTGTACAAAAAACATTTAATTTACAATTTCTTGTCATATGGTAAAGTTTTCAGCTGTTAAAAAGAGAGAAATAATTTTGGCCAGCTAAAATCGTTAAATACTCCTACGTGCGACGGTCGTGCTAAAGACACCCGCTAAATACATAAAATTGAAATTAACCAAAAATCCAAACACAAAAATAATGTAAAAATGCTAAACACAAAATAATTAAAAATGTCAAATATAAAATCACCAGATAATACTGATATTCGTGAGATATTCTATTCCAACTTGCTTTTATTAGGATTCGATGCAGAAACGTATGAAGTTCAATATAGAATCCCATTTAATAGGTGAGATTACATTCAAAATGATTTTTCATTAAAAAACCATTTAAATTTAATTCATTTTAAAAATATCTAACAATTATAATAATATTAGGCTAGGTGCTTGTTGTTGCAGTGACAAAAACACAATGAGATGAGAGAATATTGAAGAAAAAGCCTGCTTTTTTGCACTTTTTCTAATTGAGACCATCTAAAAATAAGCCACTAGTTTTTTTATTATAATTTTTCTACCTCTGCTGTAAACAGAGTTTAGTAAAAAAAGATAAACAGTTAGCTTCTCATATTTGTAAAGAATCTCATTTACTTCAAGTTTAATGTTCAAAAAATAATTGCTAAGTAAAAAAACATTGTTAATTAAAAAAAATATTCGCAAACTGTAGTCTTTTTTTATTAGATCATACATCATTATAGTCACAAAGTCTTTGTATAAATTTACACAATAATATAATATACCTGGGAGCATGTCATTGGCCATCTCTTTTACTTGATATTTCCTTTTTTTATTGTCATGCATTTCATTTAATATATTCTATATTTCATCTCTAGACATCTTATGTTGTAGTTTACTGAGAGTGCACAAAAACCACTGGCTAGAAGTTGTTATTAGACTGGTGTGCAAAATTTTAAAAATTAATTTATATTTGCATTTTTTAAATTATAGTTCATCACCTTTATAATACAATGTTTTCTTTATATCCGTGTTGTTGTAACTGACTGAAGTAACTTTAAACTTTGGTACTTGTCTATATCATTTGTATTAAGTATTTCCTACATTGTTTATCAATATTTTATTGGATTTATGCGACCTCAAGCAAACTTTTGAATAATATTAATCTCAGTTTATAAACTGTATTTTAATAAACTAAAGCACAATAAATAAATAAAATTATTACCTATTATTATTGTTTTTTTAATTCTAATTCACTCCCAACAAGGCCTTAAGCAACCACTATTAAGTTGGGAGTTACTAGAAAAAAAGAATAGAGTTATAAAGCAAGGTAACAGATTACAGAAGACTTGCAAAGTTGAAGGTTGTATGAGTCAGGAAAACATGAAGATGGAAGAGAGTTCCAAAGGTTTGAAGTGCGGTGAAAAAACTAGACAAAAGTTTTTAGAGCATGCAAGGGCAGATAAAGTAAAAGAAAGTGACTTTGCTGAATAACAAATAAAGCGAGAATGAGTTTTGGTAGATGGAACTAGAGATGATAGCTCCGTTGAGTAGTAACCATATTAGTATTTGTTGAAAAGAGAAAGAGATGCAAAGGTGTAAGGTCCAACTATGTTTACATTGCGTTTTTGAACTTTGTCTAAAAGAGAAAGAGCATCATTAGAAGAACTAGCCAAATATGACAACAGGATTCCATACAGGCAAAAATAAAAGGTTTGTAGGTATACAATAGTAAAATTGTATTTGGTATCAGGTTATAGTTAGTAACAGGAGTAAGATAATGACAGCGTGATAAAGTTAAGCAACTTTAGTAAATGCTAACTTTGCAATCGATTGTATATATGGTTTTTATGAGAGGTCAGTTGTAAATGATAATCCAAGAAGACGTAAAGAAGAGGACTCAGTGACATAGTTGCCATTTGTTAATATAGGAATGTTGACAGTATTGTGATAGTTGTTTGCAGTAAAAGTTGAGTCATTAGCAAATATAGCCACTTTAAATGTAAGATTGTTAGTAAGATCATTAATGTACAGAAAACACAATACAGGACTAAGGATAAAACCTTAGTAGTTATTTTAACCTTAATAGAAGTTGTTGAAAATGAAAAATAGTAAAGAATTTCTCCGATATATCATATGAAACAAGCATATGGAGCAGACTAATATGCCAAACTTTATTAAAAGCTACAGAAATATCAAGAGCAATTGTTCTTGCCCCATCTTGTACATCTAATGCACGGTATCTTTGAGTCATAGCAGTTAGCAAGTCAGTGGAAGAAGGAGAAGATCGAAAACCGTATCGATTGGAATATTAAGCTTACCTTTGTTAATGATGCTGTTGAAGATTTACTTCTGGGATAAGATATGAAATCATAAGACAGCACCTTTTTACATTGATTTTGTGCACTAATGAATAAGTGCTTGTTCTCAAAAGAGTTTTTTTGAAAAAGATGAAAAAATGATTACAATTAAATATAGCAGCTGCAAAAGAAGGTGAAAACCATGGATTAGAATGAGGCTTGACTTGGAGCCGATAAGAATTTATTATGCTTGATTTAATTTTTATGCATAATTTAGTTAAGTGCAATAAGTAATTGGAAATGACCTATTGCACTTAACTAAATCAAGCATAGAGCACTTAAATAAAGCATAAAGCACTTAATTAAAACATTAAAGTTGAAGAATATAAGTATGAAATTCAAAAAAATAAAAATAAATAAAGTTAGATAATGAAGTTATCTAACTTTTTTTTTTTTTTTTTTTGAATTTCATACTTATATTCTCAATTTTAATGTTTTAATTAAGTGCTTTATGCTTTATTTAAGTGCTCTATGCTTGATTTAGTTAAGTGCAATAGGTCATTTCCAAAAAATAAAGTTAAAAAACTTCATTATCTAACTTTATTTTTTTTTTTTGAATTTCATACTTTAAAAATAAAGTTAGATAAATCAGAACCTAATATTTTGCTTTTTCTGATAAAACAAGTAACAGTTGTTATTTTACACCAGAAGACTATGAAAAAATTGTATGTGATAATATTACTTATTACTATATGAAAGCCTGTAAAATTTGGTAAATGCAATTAATGTAAAAGCCCAAAGTATTGCTTAAAAAATCAACCTAAAAAGTAGAATTGAATTAGTTGCCCCTGCAGGTAATTCAATTCTAATTTAGACCTGTAAAGATCATAAACCAATTTTCAATACAAACTTCCATGTACATTATTAGTACTCTTAAAAAGTGAGATTATATATGTAAGCAAAATAAAATTGAACACATTTAACAATTACTAATTCAAACCCTTTGTAATAGAGTTTTTAGGCTTTATAAAACTGTTTACTTTTTTTTAGAGATATGTTTTCTTTGCCTAATCGAAAGTGTATGGAAGTGGTTGTTTACTTTTTGTTTAAAAAGTTAAATAAAGAATCAACACTGGAGATTTTTAGGTTTATCTAGTTTTTTTTATTTTTAATTAATTAGCAGTTAAGTTGTAATAAACTTTTTTTTTTTATTATTTGGTGCTTTTTTAATAAAAGTATGCTAATAAATAATTTATAAATGATATAATTTATAACTGATAAAAAATTTATAAGTTGATTTAATCAAAGTCCTTTATCTAAAAAGTTGTATCATTATAGATGTGGAGTAAAAATTTTTTTTGTTGAAATAAAATATAACATTGTGTTTGTTTTATTAAAATTTATCACAAAATTAAGCTATTTTGTTAATTATATATTTTTTTAAAGTTTAATTTTATTGAGAAATTAAAAAAAAAAATACAAAATATAAATACAGTTTCATACTATTGTCAAATAGTTTCCATACTATTGTCAAATAGTTTTGAGTCTATTATTCTAACAGCTCAACAAAACTGTTAAACTTTCTTTTGTTGTAAATTAGTAAGTAAGTGCCTGTCAAACCTGTTAATTCATTGCAGGGAAGTTTAATGTAAAATGATTAAATCTTATAACCTTATAGTAATTATAGTAGGTAATACTTACTTGAGGCTTAAATGATTTAAAAACCTACTTAGAGCTTTTATTTAAGTAAAGACTTGAGAAGGTGTCTCAAAAATTCTCATCCTAGGCAAATGTTAACTGGATATACCTTCTTTCTTGTAGAAGGCCTCCTCTGCAAATAATTTAGAGCAGGGTTACTTAACCTGTGCTTGTGGATTGAAATGACTTCTAATGTTTTGCAGCAGGTCATGCAACTGGGCAAGAGCACAGATGTTTTACAATGCAGTCAGCTTTTGGTGTTTGTATGTTATGTACATTAAAAATTACAAAGTATAAAACAAGAGTTATTTTTTTTTGCAATTATTTTTTTTTGCAATTATTTTTTACCAACTACAAAAATTTATAATTCATAGCCTGAGCTTTGACCCACAGTCTGTTTAAGAAACTTTGTCTCAATGGGATCTGACCACAAAATACATCAAAGATAAAGATCTTGTTAAAGATGATTTAATTGGTATGAGATCTAAAGCAGTATTGTGAGTTAAATTTCATGCAAAGGTTTTTTGTTTTAATATAGTTTAGAACAAGTTTACTTTCTCCTTGTTAAATGATTTTAATTAATTCCATTTGGTACTACTATTAGTTTTTACTGCTATATAGCATTTGTTGCTACTATGTTTAACTAGTGTCAATAAAAACTAAAAATCAGAACCGGCTAAACATCAAAGACAATATGCAACATACATTGTCTAAGGCAATTCCTCAATTTAGTATGGTTATTGAAAAGAAACAGTGGCAACCTGCTCATTAAACTGTTATGCGCCAAATTTTACTTGATACTAATAAATAAGGTGTGTTTTACAATACAAGGGGTATGCCAGATTGCTAAAATTTTGAAAATGGTCTGTGACTACAAAAAGGTTAAGAACTAGTGCTTTATAGGTAAAAATAAAGTTGGATGATGAACACTAGATCTTCTTGAATCAACTCATTGGTTTTTTCTTCTGTCTCCTTGTAGTGAGTGACTAGGGTCCCGGCCTGGAGTAAAAATGAGACTTTTTACAAAGCCAGCCCCAGCCTTGGTAAAATTATAGGATTTAGCAGGGGTAAGAAAACATTTATAATACAAACATTAAAAAATTATGTTATAAATTTATGCATACATTTTCTAATTATCAAATACTGGTATATATATATATATATATATATATATATATATATATATATATATATATATATATATATATATATATATATATATATATATATATATATATATATATATATGTATATATATGTATATATATACAGGCCTTCTCAGGAGATGCGTGCGGTCGCACGCCTTGAATGACCACGCATATATATTTTTTTGTTGATAACATGGGCACAATTTTTTTTACATTTATTAAAAATGACGCATTTTAAAAACGCGCTGAAAAAACCTAATTAATTACTCATCTTTTTTTTTTATTACTAATAATTCATTATTATAGTTATTAATGAGAAAATAAAAACATTAACATAACATATATGGGCAATTCCATTTTTAACTTACATTACACAACTTTATCAAATATTTGCTCAACAACTTTATCAAATATTTGCTTATTTAAACTTTTAAATTAAACTTTTAGCAATTTTGTATGAAAGCTGTTAGTCTAATAAATAAAATAAGTTTAAAAGTTTTGAGTTCGGCCAAAAGAGAGCAAACTTATTATTGAAAATGCCACTTGCACTTATGTTACATGGAAAACATGCTAAAAAAACGGATTCAACTTATAGGTCTTATTTCTGCGCATCAGTAAAGCAGTTTGTATTAGAAACTTTCACAAAATGCAGAGAATTTTATACCAATTTGCAATTTTTATAAAAACTTTTTAAAAATAAACTTGTTTCTTTGATACTGTATTTTTTACTTAAGTTACATTTACATTATCGAGCGGTTATGGTTTTTTTAATCTATTATTAAGAGTTAGAGTTACGTAACTAAAGAATTGCACAAGTATTGAACTCATTCATTAAAAATAATTAACAAAGAAATTTTTTAAAAACTGGTGGCACTCTTCCTGAGTGGTTTTTTATTACATTCATGAAAGTTATCAAATTAAAAACAGTTTTTTCGCAAGACCAAGAGCAACTTCAGAAAAATATTTTAGTTTTACATCTTTAATATTACTTAATTGAGTCATTGGTTTGTAGAAGTTTTTACTTACACTTCTTATGTTTATGCCTATTGCTTTATTTTTATAAGATTGAATTTTTAAAATGCTGCTATGTAATCAGATTTAAATCTTTTATAAACATCTATATGTCAACCAAAATAATAGTATATAAACAAACAAAAAACATAAAAATATAAGGAGAATTAAAAAAAAATTTTTTTTTTTAATTCTCCTTATATAAAAAGTTTTAGTTAAAACTTTGTCAAGCCAACAGGAAGAAATAATAATTACTTAATGACATAATATATATATATATATATATATATATATATATATATATATATATATATATATATATATATATATATATATATATATATATATATATATATATATATATACAGGGCTCGAATTAACGCAAAAAATGCTAATCGCGAAAAAAAATATTTTTAAACCCCCTCCCCCCACTATACTTTGCGACGCTTTGCAGTAATGGGGGAGGGGGGGGGGAGGGAAGTTGCGTTTGTATATAATTGTAAGTTTTGTACGTAATTGTTCTATTTTTAACATATTGTATCTCATATTTAAATATAATCTTATAGTTTTCTTGTTTGGCAGAGTTTAAAATAGTGTAAGTTACTTTTATTATTTACAACTTAAGTTATAACTTAAAGTTTAAGTTGCAGTTGTAATAAGTAATAACGTTTTTAAAACTATTAAGATATTTCTTTAAGTATATTTTTACTTAACATGATACTTAAAAAAGTAAAAGTAAAAAAGTAAGAGAAAAAGCAACATTACAATATCTAAACCACTTTAATTGGTCAAAGAAAACTATTTAATACGTTCATGGTGACGTTAAAACACATGTTAATTTAAAAAATTATTTAATTGTTAAGAGCTATAAAACCACATTAAAACAAACTGCAAAGTGGTTTTAAAAATATAAAGAGCTTAGAATAATGTAAAACAAATTCGTGACGCTGTTTAGTTTTGATTTATACAGTTTATAAAATAAAACGCGTTTTAAATAAAAGGAAGCATATAAATAAAATTGAGCTAGTTAATAAACTAAAACAAAACTTCATATTTGCGCCTATAGACCTATAAGAGTTTATAATCAATAGACCAAACAAGTAAAATCAAAGCAAAAAAACATTAGATACCACGTCTTTTATAAATTATTGTTTCCCGATCGAGCGTACTATTAAAAATTTAAGTATAAATAAATTTTTTATTCAAAAGGTTTTTAAACTGATGTTTTCATTCAATTTTTTTTTATTCCAATTGTTTTCCAAATAAAAAAGTGAAACAAAAAATTTTGTTTAATGAATCAAATTATATTAAGTATAAGAATATGCTTAAATTATTTTTTTAGAAAAAATTTTTTTCGAACAGAAGTAAAATAATTTATTAAATTTAATTCAAAATTTTTATAATTTTTATTTTAACTTGCAATTTGCAATCACTGTTTTGATGTTTGCAATAGAATGTTTCTACTTTTAAAACTATTTTCAAGAAAAAATATATAATTCAAAACTTTAACAAAATTTACGATTTACGAAAAAAAAACTTTCATTTTCATTCTCCCTTGTTTCATCAAACTTTTTAAATTTTTTTTTTTCAATTTCAAATTTCAATCACAAAATTATTTAAATAAGTGAATTTTAAGGCTATAGTTCTCTTGTTCAAATAGATTTCTTTTTAAATAAAATTCCTAAAAACAAGTTGCGTGTTTATAGAAAATGTTTAGTCTAGATATTGCTATAAATAAAATGAAAATATAAAAAAATGGTGTCGCGTTTTTCATATTCTATTCAACAATTTTTGTTAAAATAATTGCTACTTTAAAGCTTATATTATGTTTTAACAACATGTAAGATCTAAATTGAAACATGCCTATGGCTAACTGTTGCGAGTATATTAAGTAAATTAATATAATTGTTAAATTAATACTTGAGTAACTGTAAGTTACTATCTTAACTTAACTGGTTGTTTTGATTTAGGTTATAAGTTAAATCTCTGCGCGAAAGAGCATGTTTCTATTCAAAAGCCAAACTTTGCGTGATGGACTTTACTATGAAAACATTACTTTTTGAGAATTGCAAAAAAAAAAGCTAAATTAGAAAAAAAGTAAATAAACAACTAAAAAAGTAAACCAATCGCAAAAATATATGTTTTAAGAAAAAACTAATTGCGAAAGTATAAAAAGCAATCGCGACTCGCGATCGCGAATCGCTTAATTCGAGCCCTGATATATATATATATATATATATATATATATATATATATATATATATATTATATATATATATATATATATATATATATATATATATATATATATAAATATGTATATATATACATGTATATATATTTATATATTATTTTTATCTTTTTATTTTGTCATTAATTAAAAATATATATATATGTGTGCATTATTGTTAGGTTTTTTTTTTCTCATAAATATTTATTAATAATAAAAAAAAACCCAATTAGATGACTAATTAGTTTGATTTTTTCAGCGAGTTTTTAAAATTTAAAATTTTTTTTTGTTGTTGTAATAATCATTATAATGACGATAAAATATTCGTACAAATTATACAAATGTTCAAAAATAAAAATGTTTCTTTAGACTGCTTAGCTTTCATATGAATATTTCATATGAGTATTTAATTTGTTGGAAAGGTCAGGGCAAATTAAAGACTCCAAACGTTCAAACGACACTTGTTATACGATTTGATAGAAATCTCAGAACTTGCATCTTTTGTTTGATGAGCTTTTAGGCAATCCCATAACTACTGTTAAAATTATAGTATATATATATATATATATATATATATATATATATATATATATATATATATATATTTATATATATATATATATATATATATACTTATAAATGTATATATATATATATATATATATATATATATAAAATAGTGATATTTAAAATATTTTAATTTATATATATATATATATATATATATATATATATATATATATATATATATATAAATTAAAAATAGTGCACAAATCAGTGAAATTCTTTTGTACAACTTAAATCATAAGAAATACATCTATAAGAAATATACAACTATAAGAAATTACAAAATTATATAAGATATATGTACATAATACTATATACAATTAATGTAAAAAATAATCAAATCAAAATGATGTATTACCTACATAAACATAGAGACAAATAATCACTTCAATTTTTCAAATCATATCTAAACAGAAAATTATTAAATAATTATATAAGTATTTTTTTGCAAACATAAAAGTTAACTTTTTTCGAAATTCCTTTATACAAATGTTAGTAGAAATGTAAAAAAAAAACTGAAAAAAAAATCTGAGTCTGATGTAAAATAATGTTTAATAAGATCATATTGATTATTATTACCTCGCACAGGAAAATTTTCTCTTGCATTTTTATTATCACTCTCATATACATTGTCATCATAACAAACACATCAACAATCATTAGAAATATTACTTGTAGGCAAATAATTTTTTTTGATCACAACTTTCAACATAAATTTATTTTTTATCTCTATCAACTTGCTTTTTAACTCTTCATTTATTCGTTCTATATGAAGCAGCCATGTAAATTATTATTGGAATAAAACTTAGTATCAGTTACAACATAATTTATATTTTAAGTAGCCTAGTATTATTATTCTATACTAATACAAAAAAAACAACACTTTTATCATCCTATCATTAGATGGTAAGTTATTTAAAGTACTTTAAGGATAATTTAAATTCATATCTACAGATGTTTATATATAATAAAGGAAATAATAATAAAGTATAATAATTTTGACCTAAAAAATCAATCTTTTAAAATAAAATAAAAGTGTTAGAGCATGAAATGTATTAAAGCCTAATAATTGTAGATTCTCATGCAATCAATGCTGCTCCATGAGGAGACAATTAATGCACAATTTTAACCCAGACCCTCGTGTAATTTGTGGAACCCTAAAGTTTTTGAATAATTATACTCTCTAAAATAATGAAGATAAATTTCTTTACAAGTTACGTAAACACCTAAAATATATATTTTTTTGTATTCTGTACACAAACAATTATTTTACTTATTGCTTTATTTTATATAAGAACCCTGTGATTGTTAAAATTCGATTTAAAAATATGAGAAAAAGGATTTATTACATAAAATTCTTATCTAAAATCTAAAATTAATGGCAGTGAGAATATAACTACTAGTTTCAAATAAGCATAAAAATGGAAATAAAGTATTCTAAACCTGTGCTCTTTAAACAACAAATAGTGTGGTTTTTTTTCACAACCACCTTGTTGCGTGATTTAATTTTTTTTGATTTCTTTATTACTACTTCTTCTTGTGATTCAATTGTTCTGAGTTCTAAAGACCATTTCCTCTAATGTGTAATACAATCTATTTATGCTTTAAAATAATACCTTCACAACTTTTTTGCATAACTAATAGCCCACTAAAAACGAAACTTTATACAAATTTACTGAAATCATTTATTTATTTCATATGAAAGTGTTTGAAAATGCTGCTTTAACAATGTAACTATTACCTACAAACAGATAACCAAATAGATTTTAGTATTATATATATATATATATATATATATATATATATATATATATATATATATATATATATATATATATATATATATATATATATATATATATATATATATAAAATATATATATATATATATATATATATATATATATATATATATTTATATTTATATAATAAAAATTAAAAATAGTACTCAAACCAGTAAATTTATTTTGTATTGCTAATAAATAAAATTACTTGTAATAATTATTAAAATTGTTTTAAAATATTTGTTCAAACTATATATAAAAGTTAATATAAACATATAAAAGTTATATAAACATGAACATATAAAAATGTACAAAAAGATTACAGAAATAAAGATTAACATAAATTTTGCAAAAAAAACATAATATATTTGTTTGCTTAGTAATATGATACATATAGTTCATGATAAGTTTTTATAAAAATACATCAGTTATCAATATCATTATGATCTCATTATGATGAAAGGGATCTCAAATTATGAAGGCTTCATATTTTAACCATGACTTTATAATTTCTTTAATAATTGCAGCATTTGCTTCGAGGCACTTATTCATTTGCAGCTGTTCAAAACAAGTTAAATAATATGTACATAAATATACATTTATCAAAGAATATACAAGTCATGGTCTATATACTAATTTGATCGACATTAGCACGTAAATTAAAAAATTGTCCAATGCTTCTGACGTTGTTCTGACGTTGTTCTGACGTCGGCTCATAACTTAATACCTAGCTGGGTATTAAATTATGATTTACTAGAAAACAAAGTATAAGGTTAGTGAGAAAGGAAGTGGTTAACTGAATATTTAAAATGTTGTAAGGTGTATGAGCCAGGAAAATATGAAAATAGGAAATAAGCTAGACAAATAAAAACTTTTATAGCATGGAGGGATAGATAAAGTAAAAGGATGTGACTTTGTTGAATGGCAAGCCAAGCAAAAATTTGTTTTCGTTGTTCCAACTAGGGATAGCAGTGACCATGATAGCATTTGTAGTAAAAAAGAAGAGTTTAGGTTTTCCAGAATGGTTTTAATGTGGTAAGAAAAGAAATATTAGTCTTTAAACTTTTATTTGAAGAAATTAAGTAATTAAAGACTAATTGAAAAATTTAAAAAAACTAGTACTAAAGAGAAGACTAATTGTAGGATAGTTAGAGAGGTTAGAGTGTTTTCTAGAGTTTTTAAATATTAAAACCACTGTTTAGCACATAATAATAGTTGAACAAGGATTAAAGCATAGTGTCACATAGGAACATATTATATAGTATTAAAAAGCGTTATGGAGAACACTTGTAAGACTGATAGAAATGTTGTCTGACCCACAAGTCATAGAAGATTAAAATTTAGGATGGACTTAAGCATCAGAAAGCCGGAGTAATTTGGATGTTTTAAAATGATTTAATTTGTTTAACTGGACTGACATGACTATTAGATTCAAGAGTCAAATTAGAGGAAAATTTCCTTGCAAATAACACCATCTTATTCTGAGATGGAGCAATAAGACCAGGCTTATGAAAATACTCTAGAACCTAACACCTGAGATAAGATTTAATAAACTAAGAATATTGGAGCTTATACGAATATAAACATATTTGTTTTCTATTTATTTAGATGTATTAACTTGAGTATTTATATGATGTATTATGTGATGAAAAAGAAGATAATTCATATGAATATCTGGACGTGTGGTATGTGTGTGTGTGTGGTATATCTGGATCTGTGATATGATTGAAGTTGTTTGAGTATCAGCATGTAGAGAGGTAGCAGCTTCAGGAGAAAATGGTAGTGCTAGAAGTAAGAAAACTTGAAGTGAGTACATTACATATGGTATGAACAAGCTTTAGTTGAGAAACAAAAATGATTGAGATTTTTTTATGTTAGGGAAGCAGCATAAAAGGAGAGGCTAAAGCTTGATGATGATATTAATGGTAATGATGATGATGATGATAATGATATAAATGATGATAATAATGATGATGATTGTGATTGTGTTGATCATGATGATGTTTTTATATAAGTATGCATACATATTTAAAAAATTTAACATAAGCTTCAAATAAAAATGGGATATCCTGCTGGAGCATGAAAGCATTTCCCCTTTCATAATTTTTTAGTAGATGGTTGCAAGTTGGCTTTGATAATTTTACAATACTTTGAAAAATCCATTTTTTCATCAATAAATGTCAATTTCCCCACTCCTTTTGCAACTCATATTACCCCAAACCATCACATCTCCTCCTCCATGCTTTACACTTCCTTGTAAACCACTCAATTTATAAACTTTTTTTTTTTTGTTAGACATTCTGAACTCCATCTGATGAGACAAGGTTGTATTTTTACTCATCTGACCGCAAGTTTTTTCCAATATCAGTCGTGGACAGGAAAGGCGTGTGATTGCACTCCAATCTTGACCAGGCATATAATTGTTTTTTTTGAAAGCTTGACTATGGCTCTTTAGATTAGTTCTTTAGACTCCAATCTTGACCAGGCATGTAATTGTTTTTTTTGAAAGCTTGACTAAGGTTCTTTAGATAATTAAAAAAAGTGCTAAATAAAATAGACCAAAAAAAAAATAATTTATAAACAGGCTAAACTAAATGAAAAAGAAAAAAGTCTTAAAAAAAAATAATTAAAACCTTTAAAAAAAAATTGAATAATATTAATCTGAAAAACAAAAACTTTAATAGACATTTATTTTTAATTATGTTTTGTAATTATGTTAGGGTTGAATAATTTGTCGCTTTGATTTGAAAAGTTCCTAACTGATTTTTTTTTTTATAATAGAAGCAGGGTTGGTAAAAGACCTGGGTTTTTTTTAAAAAAAACCTGGCCCAGTTGGGTTTTTTGGATAATTTTGTTTTTTTTTTTTTTTTTTTTTTACATCTGTTAAATTTTTTTTTTGTTTAATGATATTGAAAATAAGTATAATTTTCTACTTAAATTTGATTTAAAATATATTTTACATAATGATATTTAATAATTTATAAAAAAAAGTTTTCAAATTATTTTGAAAAAATTTTTTAAATATAATTTAAAATTGTAAGAGAAAAAAATTTCACTTTAAATCTATATGTATTGATTTATTTTAAAATTGTTTCTCTACACGGTATAGTTAAGGTGATTTACAAAATATTCGAATACTTTTATTTGGAATTAGCATGATTTTGTCAGCATATTATGTCCAAACAAGATCTTTAAATGCTATAATTTTTTTTTGCTCAAAGTTTTTATAATATTTAAAGAAACTTTTCTTTTTTTTATATAATTTTCAAAACCTTTTTACTACCTGTAAAAGTGTATCTAAAGAACACTATTTTGGAGTCTTTAGATCAATTCCACTCATCGGCATTAATATGAATTTAATTAAAATCTTTTGAAAAAGTTTCTTAATTTACTACTTATCCTAGTTCTAATCGGTTCTGATGTATATTAACTATATATAGTTGTCAAAACACAATATTTCTATCAATTTTTTAAAAAAATACTGGAATTCTGACCAAGAAAGAGCTTATAATTATGGAAAATTGCCAATAAACGATCAAAGCAGATCATATTGTTAAACTATAATGTTCATTTCACCTAAAAAACTTGTTAATATAAAATCTTATTTAAATTTGGACGAGCGATTGTGATTTTAAGATGATTTAAAAAAAAAAAAAGAATCATCGGTCTGGATTTTTTCGCTACAAACATTTATATTTTATGATACCGCAAAATTTATCATTTTAAGTTTTTTGGTCTTTTCATAATTCACAGACAAGACCATTTAACGGAAAAATGTCGCAGTCAACAAAATATCATACAGACGCTCTATTATTTTAAAAGTGCCTTAACTACACCGAGCATGCATTGGTTTTGTTCTTAAAGGTTTGTGTTTTGGAGTTTAAGAGTTGAGAGAGGGTTATGACCACAATAAGGTAGCCTCCTCAACTGTAGTGGCCTTCTCAGCTTTGAAAGGTGATTAACATAAAAGATAAAAAAAATCACAATCTATAAAAATATTCAAATAAAGTTTGTGATTATGCGTTTCCAAATAATCATTCAAATATTAGTGAATCTACTATGATAGCTGTTGTTGTTGGTTATAATAGTAAATAATAATAGTTAAAATAATTTAGTTCATAAAAATAGGTATTAATTTAATTTATTTAATAATATAATAGTTATAATGTTAATGTTGGTTATAGTAATTCATAAAATTATAAAATATATCTTTAGAAAACCCCAATAAAACCCAGATTGCCGGGGTTTTATTGGGTTTTTTCAAGCAGGTTTAATTGGGTTTTTTCAAGCAGGTTTAATTGGGTTTTATTAGGCGAGTTTTTTTGGGTGGATTTTTTAATGCCAATGATTAGAAAAATAGCAAATAAATCTTTTTTTCTTTTTTTTTAAATGCCTAAATAAAAATATTTTTATGATTATTTTTTATTTATTAATGTATTTTTATATATCAATTCAAAAAAAAAAAAACATAAAAAAATAAAATAATAATAGTATAAATAAATTTAATTAAACAATTAAAAAAATTAAAAGATTTGTTTTAAAATTCTCCTAGTACAAAACCAACACAACGAACTATAAAACTTTGATCTTTCCTAATGTTTTTTTAAAATTAGGTAAACTCTTTTAAATAAAAAAATATATATCTAATTATCATTTAATAAAAAACTAACTTTATTTAAATTATCAACAAGTATTAAAAAAAAAAGTTTATTGAAATGCATTCGTTGTCGTCATTGTTTAAGAATACAAATTGTTAAAAAAATATTACATTCATCATTAAAAAAAAATTTTTTTGAAATAAAATTTTTATTTAATATTTTATGATAATTTATTTTATAGCATTTTAAAACTTTATTTAAAAGCTTTTAGCTTAGTGTAAACAAATTTTACTAAAAAGTTTACATAGTATTACAAAAAAACAAACAATAATTTTGTTATATTTTTGACTATTAAATATATGGTTTCATCAAAAAGTTTATTAAAACAATTGTTTTCGTTTTTGTTTATAAATCTTTAAAAAAAATTTAAAAAAGGTTTTCAAAAATCTTAAAAGCCATGATTAAGTTGTCACAAAAAAAAAATTAGTTTACGCGTGGTCAGGTGTGATTGCATGCCTTTCTTGTCTATGACTACAATATGATTTTGGTATTTTTTCGTACTTCTTTGCAAATTCCAAATGATGTTTTATTTTTAAAGAAGTTAAAAAAGGTTTTTTTTGAACTACTCTACCTTCATATCCTTGCTCTCTAATATGGTTTCTGATTGTTTGATGAATTTCTGTAATGTCGTGATCTTGAATTTTTAAAGCTAATTTAGCTGCCAAAACAAATATTTTTTTCTTCACATTAATGATTATATTTCAAACAATTACACTGGTGGTCTGGCGTCTTTGTCGTTTACCTGCCACTCTAGCAGCAGTTTCGATCAGATTATGCTTCTTAACAATTAAGGAAACTGGCGTAAAAGGAATTCCTTTTTTTTTGGAATTTGAAAGAAAGATTTTCCTTGATTTTTCAAATCAACTATGAAGCTTCGTTGATGGATATACAAATGCTCTTTTCTTGACACCATTTTGCTCAAGCGCTATATTTTATTTTATTTCTAGGATAAAAGTTTATTTAAAAATTACTATTTTCAATTTTACTTGTTTGATTGTACAATTATTTTTTTGTTGTTGTCAATTTTATGCATCATTAGATCAATTGTGTTAAATTCAGTAGGTTTGAAAAGCAATTAATTCACCAATACACACAAAAATTCTTAAAACAATACTTGATAAGATATCTAAAAAATTTTTTAAAATATTTCAACGGAAAACTAATTTTTTTGATGCAATTTTTTAAAATTATGATATTTTTTTAAGTGAACGATTTTTTTTTGCTTATTTTAAATTATAGTCATAACAGTCTGTAAGCAAACTTTAAAGTTTAAATTTTAAAGTTTAAAGTTTAAAGTTTAAAGTTTAAAGTTTATGGATTCATCAGGAACCATTTTTGCAAAAAATGGTTCCTGATGAATCCACAAGAATCCACAAGGTATTCTTTCAAGATTATTAAACTGCATAAGGTTATGAAATTTGAAAATATATTTTTAGTAAAAACTTCATTTTATGTAAGATAACTTAATGTTATAGAAGCATTTCATAAAACGATATCTTTTATTATTAAGTATTCAGTATACATTTTTTAAATACTTTTTTAAAATTGCATCGATATAGAGAAATATTTATATTTCTCTATTTTTTAATATCAAATTTTTTGCAGCAAATTAGAATTTATTTTTTATTAAGTCTTATTTTCTTCATCTTTTGTATAGGAATTGTTGGCCGATTATTGACAAAAAATCAGAACAAGAATTTCGTAAACAGACAATAGATTGGATTACTAGAATCAAAAAGGTTTGTTAAACAGCTTTAGTTTGAAATTTTACAATGTTGCATTTATATGTGTGTATATATATATATATATATATATATATATATATATATATATATATATATATATATATATATATATATATATATATATATATATATATATATATATATATATATATATATATATATATATATATATATATTTTTTTTTAAATAATTTTTTATATATAATTTTTATTTAATTAATTACATAATAAATAAAAAACAATATTCAACAGTTAAAATATAATCAATCATTTTAATAAAGCAACAATATTTAAAAAACTGTTATACATCAAATAGTTGTTTTATAAAAACGAACAATCTTCATTATTTATTATGTTCATTCATTTCTCTTCTTCTTTATTATTTTATTATGTTCATTCATTTCTCTTCATCTTTATTATTTTATTATGTTCATTCATTTCTCTTCTTCTTTAATATTTTATTATGTTCATTCATTTCTCTTCTTTATTAATTTATTATGTTCATTCATTTCTCTTCTTTATTATTTTATTATGTTCATTCATTTCTCTTCTTTATTATTTTATTATGTTCATTCATTTCTCTTCTTTATTATTTTATTATGTTCATGCATTTCTCTTCTTCTTTATTATTTTATTATGTTCATGCATTTCTCTTCTTCTTTATTATTTTATTATGTTCATTCATTTCTCTTTTTCTTTGTGAATGAAAATGTCATCATATAGAAAAATTTCTACAATCTACAATTCTACAATTATAAATAACGAGGAGAGTGACAAATCATTAAAAAAGACTTTGGTAATAAAACTTTGAATAGTTGGATACTTGTAAAATTGAGATAATAGTTTTTTGAAGTTACACTACAGTTTTTATCTTTCGCTCAGAATTATTAGTGTGCGCACTATTTAGTGAGTTTTTGTTATCATGTTTTTGTTTTGGTTTTGTTTCTAAATTTTTATTCAGACTTTATTCTTTTATTCTCCAGTTTTATCAGTTGTATAATTGGATTTTTGTTGAGTTTATTCCAGATATAATCAAACCAATAATTTGCAAGCAACGCAAAAATGGCAGAAAAACAACTTTCTCAACCATCACGTTTTTTTATTCAATCATCTTGATGTTTGCATAAAAAATTTTGCAATGAATGTAGCAATTTGCAAGATCTATTTAAGTATTAATATATTGTCTTATTAAAATAATGATATAAAATATAACATTTTTTTTTGCGCTTCTTTTGTTAATTCATTTTTCTTATGCTTTGTAAATTAAATTAAATTTTAAAAATTTACACCTTTAAACTATAAAGATCTAGTGACAATTATATTTAAATCTTTTTTTAAATAAACCTTGTACCAAATTGTTCTATTCTTTTACAATTGTTTTTCAGCTGTTTAGACTAAAATTTTAATAATTACTATCGTTTTCGCTCAATTTACTATCATACTCTTTTATGAACTACAAATTCATAAAACTGTTGATTTTATATTCTTTTCGATATATGTTATGTTGAAGATAAATAGAATACATGTTATGTTGTTGTGATATGTAAGTTATAATTTAAAATCTAATTTTTAATTTCTAAGAGACTTAGTACAAATAGATTTTTTTAAATTCTGGTATATAGAGTAAAATGGTATATGAATAAAAATTAATTTTTTACAGAAAAAAGATTTTTCCTTTTTTTTTTTAAAGTTGTTGAGAGTATTGAGCTGTATTTAAATATATAAAATTTAAACAATTTTTTAAAACTTTAAATTTTTTTTTTAAGAATGGTTCAAGTTAATATACTGATAGAGATAATAAAAATTTGTCGCAATTAAAGCTTTTAAATTACAAAGTAAAAAAAAAACATTTAATTCACTCAGTATATGGTGAATTCATCAGTTTGAATTCTGATTATTGCAAACCGCTGATCCAGCGGTTTGACTACCCCATAATTTTTTCTAACTTTACAATGGCGTCGTATTAGACGAAAGAAAAAATCAATTTAATTTTCCATTGAAATGGAACTGATTTAACTCTTTTTTCTTTTGTTAATGTTACTACTATAAATTTCTTTTGTTAATATTACTACTATAAATTTTTTGGGAATCTTTTTTATTTATTCATTTACTAAATCTTTAAATTTATTAAAAAAAGAAATCATTTTTAAGATTTAAATATTTTTTTTTATCATGTAACACTTCCTATGAATAATGTTTATGTTTAAATATTTTTTTTTATTATGTAACACTTCCTATGAATAATGTTTATGTTTAAATATTTTTTTTTATTATGTAACACTTCCTATGAATAATGTTTATGTTTAAATATTTTTTTTTATTATGTAACACTTCCTATGAATAATGTTTATGTTTAAATATTTTTTTTTATTATGTAACACTTCCTATGAATAATGTTTATGTTTAAATATTTTTTTTTATTATGTAACACTTCCTATGAATAATGTTTATGTTTAAATATTTTTTTTTATTATGTAACACTTCCTATGAATAATGTTTATGTTTAAATGTTTAAAAATTCACCAAAAAATTTTTATAGCTCTTTCTCAAACTTTTCATCAAATAAGTAATGTTAATAAATAAATGGATAGCTAGTGTGAAAATACAAAGAGAATGCTCATCTAAAAAGTTTTTTCACAATGCAATGACGCTTGTTATATATACATATTCTTGTAATATTAACATTATAAAATGTCTGTAAAAAGTATAAAATTAAATTTTGTTATTATAATTAAATTAAATGTTTAGAGGTTAGCATGACTCGCCATTTTGTTTTATAGAGCTTTACATATATATATTTATATATATATATTTTTATATTTATATATATATTATACTTTATATATATATATATATATTATACATATATATTTATATATATATATATATATATATATATATATATATATATATATATATATATATATATATATATATATATATATATATATATATATATATATATATATATATATATATATATATATATATATATATATATGTATATATATACAAAGTGGCGAAGTTTCAAAGTCTGCTGGTTTGTTGTTAATCCTATTGAATATTCTTGAATCTGCTGTTCAAAAAAGCAAATTTTTTGAACAGCAGATTCAAGATTTAGCTTTGTGAAGTGCTCTAGGTTGCTTAAATGTAATCTGTTGGCAAGTCTCTCCTTCACCATCGAAAAATAATTATGCAGAGCTCAACAAACTCCAAAGTCCATCTCTGCACAAGAGCTGCTGTGAATGTGAGAGTTCATGAACACTGTTTTGAAGACTTTCAACAAAATCTCTTGCTGTTTTATTGAAATCACTTCTGTCAAAACAAGATAATTGTTCCGCAACTTCTGAAGTTGCAGATATCGATGAGCGTAGTGTTGCTGATCTGTGTGAATCTCAAAGTGTTTATTAAATCTGGAGAACATTGTAACATCTGGAGAACTCTTAAACATCTGGAAAACACTGTAACATCTTGAGAACACTGTAACAACTTTAACATTTTTTTTTGTTAATTAACCTCCTCAAGGCCGAGGAGGTCACTACAGACGAGGAAGCTACTTATTTGTGGTTATAACCCTCTCTCAATTCTATAACTTTGAAACACGATCCTTGACGAACAAGGCCGCTGCGCAGAGAAATAAGTTAAGCGTGGTACTACCAGAGACGTGGTGGGGATCAAACCTGTAACCTCTTGCTTATGAAGCAAGCGCTTCATAACTACCACTACACCACTACCACACTAATCTGGAGAATGCTTTAACATCTGGAGAACACTGTATCAAAAACATGTAATAATATTACTTCACCAACATTAGGGTGTCCCAAAAAACAACTTTTTAAAAAAAATGTCTGCTCCCACCCTCTATATGTTTTCTATATAATAATATACTACTTTAATTGAAAAATTTAATAAAAAAAAATTATATAAAAATTTCAAAAATAATCATCATTTTATGAAAAATATTGAAAAAAAAAAATTTTTATAAATTTTTTTTTGTATAAATGCATATTTTTATTTTTTAGTTTTTAGTAATTTTTTAGACAGTGAAATTTAAAGTAATTATTTTTTTTTATAAAATGATGATTATTTTTTAAAATTTTATAAAGTTTTGCTTCTTTTAAGACCCAACATGATAGGGTTTTGAAGATCTTTTTTTTGTTGTTGATAATATTAGGGACTCGTCTGATGTTGAAAGGACCCTAAAATATTTTTTCTAAATAACATGATGATGACAAGCAGACCATAGAAGAACTTTACCTAATTGCTGCTGGATTGTGACACATGCTGCTGCCACTTGTGCAGTGTTTGATGCTGTAGCATTGAATTTCATGTTTACCACTTAATCACAATATTTTCATGAAGAGAGCAGTTCAAATAATAAATCTGCTACAATGTCACCTGTGGTTTGATCTGTGCCAGGTTATGTTATATATATATATGTTAACTTAGAGTTCTAGTGTAATGAGCACCTTCAGAACGACCCACTGATATCTGTAGTTGGTAGCAAGTTTTTGCAACTTGATGGCGTCATCTTTAGTGTTCTTCATGTGTTGTTCAACATTACTGGGCCATAGTGCAAATGTCTTAGAAAGTTTCTCTTCCATTTGTTGTACTTTTGCAATGCACCTTGCAGTATACCTGCGTTTGATCGGAATGGCTCTTAGTTTTTTATTGTCATCTAATAGCTTTAGAAGTTTCTGGCATGATTTAATTTCACTAATTATTGGAATATTAGCTTATCCATAAAAGATGACAATCTGTGCTAGTACAATTTGGTCCAGTTTTCTTGCACTCTTGTTTTGATGTGCCTCATTAAACAATGCAAGACTTGCTTTGATGTTGGCAGTTGAGAGCTGGTTATCTTAGCATCAAGCTCAGTAATGTCATTGCCAAAACCAAATATTGCAGATGATTGTCTTGTCTTCTTTATCACCTTTGCTCTAACAGGTCCTGATATGTCTTCAACAACAGAGACTACACAAGCAGACATTTTCTGAAATTGAAGCACAAGATAATTTTAATTTGTTTATTCAGAAATCAATAATATTTATAATAAATTAAATCAATAAAAAAGAAAATCTTTATAATGTATTGATGAAGAGATGCAGCAGCAGGCACCTCCATGCTGACAAATCTTAGACACATGGTATGTTGATGCGTATGTTGTTAGTGCGTTGAATCAGAATCAAAAAAATCAAAAAAATGATGGAATTATTTTACTGTTGTTAGCATATATATTAATGTAGTGAGCAATGTATGATAAGTCATTTATGTAAATGATGTAGAAATACTGTCCAAGTACTGATTCCTGAGAAACTCTACTGGTCACCCCTTTCCACTCAGATTAAGTTTTACCAACCAGCACTCTTTGCTTTTGTTTAGCCAGCCAGTTTGCTATCCAACTGAGCAGTGAGCCACAAATGTTAAAGGCTTTTAATTTGTGCAAAAGACTTTTGTGCAGCACTTTATTGAAGATCTTCATAATGTCATTATTATGTCTATGTCATAGCAACGATGTACTGCATCTGTTTAGGTAAGAAAGGCATGCTTTAGGAAGTACTTTGCCTTCAGAGAGAGACTTGTGGTAGATGATTGTTAATAGTATGGCAATTGCAGCAGTGCAGTTATAAATGAAACAAGGATGCATTTCATTTATTACTTATACCCATACTTGTGTTCTATCTCCAAAATTTTGCATAATGATTGCAAAGTATTTTTCTGTGATTTTTTCTCAAAGTTTCTTTTTGATTTTTTTTGAGTTAGTTTAGAAATTTAATTATAGTAATAGAATAAACTATTGACTTTCTGAGAATAATAATTGCAACAACAATTATAATATTTTGATTACATATGTCAAATAAAATTTGGCACAAAGTAGACATTCTAAGACATGTCTTATTGAAGGTAAAATAGATCTTTATAAATAGAGTTGTAACTTAAGTTTTACTTGTGTAAAAGTATAATGTTTTATATACAAATTTTTACATAATGAGATTAACAAATTTTTGCATTGTGATAGTTTTGCAATTATTCAGCCCTTAAGGTATTAGGGTTGGGTTAGGTTGTTACCCCAAGGTAGGGTTGGCATTCAACTGATCTAATTGCTGACTTGAAAGTGTCTGTTACTTTTTGCCTAACTTATTTCTTTGTTTTTATGGTTAAACCTTGTTAAAAATTTGTGAAGCCTATGTTAAAAAAACCTGATGCTGACCAAAAATAGTTTAATGTAGATAATTTTTTGTCTTAAAGTTGGATATTTTTAATCACATTAAAAAGTGTATATTTATTTAAGATACTTTTATAAATTTTGTAAATTTATATATATTATTTGTTTTGTTTTAGGATGATCCAGAATGTAATTTGCCTAATATAACTCCTTCTTTGCTTATAACTCCTTCAGGTTATTTTCTTTAAATTTTTTTAAATCAAAAAATATTCATTAAAATTCATAAATAACAAATTTTATAACAAGCTTTAATTTTTATTGTTTTTTATTTATTTATTTTTTTTTTAATAATGTTTATTAGTAAGCTAACAATTAGTAAGTATAAGCTTAGTTATAAATAAGAATAAGATTTTCCAAAGCTTGTCCAAAAAAACCATAGAACAAAGATTAGTTTTTATTAATACAATTATAAACAGCTTCTTGTAATAACTCCCTATCTTGTTTTCTTGTATCCAAAGTATATTGTGATACCGAAAATTATTCACAATTAATATAAGATTTGGTTGCTTAACTTTAAAGAAAATGATGTTTTTCTTCAACAGATTAACTTTTTCTTGAAATGTTAAACATAACATAAACTTGCAAATTAAGCAACATTTTTAACTAATCAACAACCATATTTTTTTTTATTTTTTTATTTTATTTGCATTCACTTCCAACAAGGGTGCAAGCAACCACTATTAAGTTGGGAGTTACTAGGAAAAAAAAAGAACAGAGTTATAGAGCAAGGAAACGGTTGACAGAAGACTTGAAAAGTTGAAGGTTGTATGAGTCAGGAAAACATGAAGATGGGAGAGAGTTCCAAAGGATTGAAGTGCGGGGAAAAAATCTAGATGAATAAAAGTTTTTAGAGCATGCAGGGACAGATACAGTAAACGAATGAGACTTAGCTGAATGACGAGTAAAACGAGAATGAATTTTAGTTGATGGAACTAGAGATGATAACTCCTTTGAGCAGTGACCATGATAGTATCTGTAGAAAAGAGAAAGAGATGCAACTTTACGACGATGGGAAAGAGGTTCAAGCTTAGCAGATAGTCCAGGTCCAACAACATTTACAATGCGTTTTTGGACCTTGTCAAGAAGAGAAAGTGAATCGTTAGAAGAACCAGCCCAAATATGACAACAGTATTCCATACAAGGACGAATAAGAGATTTGTAGAGGTAGAGAATGGAATCAGAAGTAAGGAAATGGCGAGCACGATAAAGAGAAGCAACCTTAGCAGAAGCTAATTTAGCAATCGATTGTATATATGGTTTCCATGAAAGGTCAGTAGTAAGCGATAATCCGAGAAGACGTAAAGAGGATGACTCAGTAAGAGGATTGCCATTCATTAATATAGGAATGTTGACCATATTACGGTAGTTGTTTGCAGTAAGCAATTGGGTTTTTTTAGAGTTGAAATTCACAAGCAATTGTGAACCCCAATCTATTACTAAAGTGAGATCAGATTCAAGATCAGCTGCTTGTTCTAGGCGATCGAAAAGAGAAGACTTTTTGTCAAGACAGGAGTATAAAGTTGAGTCATCAGCAAAAAGAGCTACTTTAGATGAAAGGTTGTCAGGAAGATCCTTTATGTAGATAAGAAACAAAACAGGGCCCAGGATGGAACCTTGGGGAACCCCAGAAGTTACTGGAAATAAAGAAGAGTGTTGGCCTTCAAGGATGACTTTAATAAACCGGTCAGAAAGAAATGATTTGATAATCTCAAAAACTTTCCCAGAAACACCATATGAAGCAAGCTTATGGAGAAGACCAGCATGCCAAACTTTGTCGAAAGCTTTAGATATGTCGAGAGCAATAGCCCTAGCCTCACCGCCTCCATCTAATGCACGATAAAATCTTTCAGTTACAGCAGTTAGCAAGTCGGCCGTAGAGCGAGAGGATCGAAAACCATATTGATTGTCTGACAGCAGTTTATTTGACTCAAGATGAGATGTGAGGAATTTTATGTTTAACAAAACACAAACTTGATAAGACATAAATTAAGCAGGGTTTATGTTGAAAGGGCAGTCCAAATTTTATTTTCCATATTCAAAACTTTTCTCTTATTTATCATTCAAAATTCATGTTATTAAAATAATTTGCAGTCTAGTGTAATAAAACTGGGGATGCTCATTAAAATATTTTGATGTATACTTGTTGTTACTAACTAATTTTGCCTCCTGATAATAGTTAATCAATAAAACTTGATAAAAATTTTACTCAGGATTTGTCTAAAATTTTACTCAGGGTTTATGTAAAAATTTTACTTAGGGTTTATGTAAAAATTTGTTCCAACTGAAATAATCATCTTGATTTTTTTTTAACTAATGAAAGAAAATATTTCACAGAGGGTCATGTCTTCCCTACCGCGAAGAAGAAAAGTCCCTATTGTGGTTTCTTAAAAAATAAGTAAATTTGTTAAGTTTTTTTTTCAATATATTTTTTTAGTATTATTTTATGCAAAACTAATTTATTTCAGTAAAAATATATTTTTAAAAAGATTAATTTTTATAGTTTTGAGATGTTTTTTATCTGCGAATGATTTTTTATTGCTTTTTTAAGAAAATCTTTTACAGTCAAAAAAAGTTTATCTGTTTTTTTTATGGCTAAAAATTAATATATTTTTTTGCTAAATGCGTAAAATAGTTGTAAAAACATTGAATTTTTTAAATTTTATAAAAAAATAGTAGTATTTTTTGTATAACATTATTTAATCCTTACTACAGTAGGTGATTACAAAAATTATTTTAATTACTTACTGTTTATGGAAACATTTTTATCGACGTTTCTTATTTTGTTTATTTTTTTTCTCTAGAAAAACTATTTAGGATAATCTAAATTACCAATTAAAGGTAGTTTAACCCTAGGGAATATTTATATAATAAGCTTTTTATACTTTATTTATGATTTGAAATAAATTATTATAATAAGATTCAAGATTTGAAAAAAATATATATTCAAAAAAAGTTACAAAAGTTAAAATAATATATTTTGACAAACAACTGCAAGAACACTTACAGCTATAAATTACAGTGAAGTATTAAATGACGCACACACAAAAAAAAAAAAAAAAATAAACATGTATAAAAAAAAAGATACTTAAGAAGAAACAAAGTTCTCATTCAGAAAAAGTTTTTGTTGGATGATTTTTAAAAAACTAAAAAACCAATGTTTCTTTTATTTAGTAATCATATTAAATTTATGCATTTTTTTTGTAAGATAAATAAAACTAAAATCAAAATATACAATTTTTTTATTCATGGTAGGTGAAAAATCAATTACGGTGGAGCAACATCATGGCAGGTGAAGAAACATACCAGCTCTTACAAAAAATTAAAAATAACATTAAAAAAATAGTTTTACTCAAATTTGAATAATATAAATTTGATTAATATAAATAATTGAGTATAAATTCTATCAATTCAAGTTTCTAATTAAGTTATACAACTCAAAAATTTGTTTTTTTATATAATTAAAAAATTATTAAACTAAAATACTTGTTTTCCAATTTTAAATTTCTTTCCAACCGTTTCAAATAATTAACGGTGCATAAAATGTTTAGTTTTTTGCTGTAGTTTGGTTTTAATAGTTATATATAGTAAAACTTTTTTTTTCCAACAATTTAGTTGAACAAATTTTATTTAATTTTTTGGTTGCGTCCATTAATGTAGTAGACATCCCCTAGACAGGCTAGACTGTATTTTTATAGTTTTATATTTCTATTTTATTGACTATTTCAGTTCGTTTTCTTATACTTGTTAAATAAATGCATTGCATGGAATTAAATAATGTTAAAATTTTGCAACTGAATTTTTTTGCGATTTTTACAGAAAACCAGTGTCGAACTAAATAAAATCTGGTAAATTATTTTTATACTTGATTATTGAAGTTTGCAACACTTATCTATGAGTGTTTATTTTATCAAGTTTTTGGTACACATTGCTTCAAACACATGCTCCTATGTTTCAATCAGTGTTTTAGTCAAAATAAAGAACAATTAAATTATCAAGAATCTTCCATGACTTTAAATGGCTAATGATTTCAGCCTTTTGGGCTAAATCATTAGAATGTTAACAATTCCAAGAACTATGAGATTTGAACCTGAAAACTAATCCATTCCATCCACTTGCAAGAAAAGATTTTCTTATCCATTATAATGCTAAATCATTAGAATGTTAACAATCCAAAGAACTATGAGATTTGAACCTGAAAACTAATCCATTCCATCCACTTGCAAGAGTTGTAAAATGCTCTTCTTGTGATTAAGTCTAACATAATAACATTTAAATCAAACATAATAACATAATTGATCTTCGAATACATAATAAAGACAAGCATTCAGATTATTTTTGAATGTTGTGTCTCAGAAATGAATCAGAAATGTTGATGCACAGTGGTTAAACCTGTTTTTATCAGTCCTCAATCAATGTCATGTTTTTTTTTAATGATATAGTCTGATTTAATGCAAAATGCTGTTTTAGGTGTTCAATACAAAGATGAACACTTTTCTTCTTTTGATATAGAAAGTGACCGATCCATCTAAGTAGCCAAATTTAAAGTTAAACAAATCTATAATTGTAAATGTTAAATTAGTTAAAGTAACTAGTTAAGTAACTATGGTAATTTTGTTTTATGCTGGATTTTGTAAGAAGTTTAGATGCTGCAATGTCACACATTTAAGCATGGATTAAAAAAGTAGTTCTTGACAACTAAGAGTATGGATATCATGCATTTTCTTGCACAACTAAGAAAATAAAAATCATGTTTTTTTTATAACAGTTATGATATTCATCAAACATTTATGATATTATCAAACAGTTATGATGTTCACAAACATTTTTTAGCATATTTGAGTTGTTGTACATGAGCTATTTAAGATGAACTTTTGCAAAAAAATATGTTTTTTCTTCATAGCTTAAACAAATAAAAACACAAAATACTAAACATAATTTTTTAAAGTTTTGCTATCACTATTTGGCAAGTAGGGTTTAGTGCAAGTTTGATAAATCTGCAGCCTGGCTGACGAATTTTATGAAAGTTTGTGTGTTCTTTGAGCATATCATTTCTTATATCCTATTCTTTACTATTGAGCATATGATGTACTTATATCCTATTCTTTATTAATTTCAATAAATTTGTGTTTATGATAATTTCTCGTTTGTAGGTTTTTTCCTCTTTAAAATTTTTTATTTTTAGAAAATTTTAGAGTAGGAAATAATTTCCTAAAAAATATGAAATCTTATGTTAGTGCTTGAGAAACTTGAAAATTTATTATATTGCTTTTTAAATGTGCTAATCTTTTATTTGGTCTTTTATTACACCCAGGTAAAAAAGCTTGCTTGTGGTATAGTGGTAAATGTTCACTTGATTTAGAAAACATAGAACTGTTGGTGATCTTGATTCCTGATATAATACATAAACAAAGAATAGATCCATAACATTTTCCATACAGAAATATGATAAAATTGTGAATAAATTTTTTATATATATTAACACTAAGAGATATCATAAGGTCACACACTGAGTAATTTAAAAAACATAATAATTGTCTCTTTTATTCATTATTATGTTTATTAGAAGAAAAAAACCTTGAATTATAATTTTTTTAGGAGAGAAGTTTTATCAGTTCTTGTTTTATTTTTCGGTATATACTCTGAAGCAAAAAGCAAAAGCTATATCAAGTATGATTATTAAATAATTAGTTTTGCTTTGTATATTATTTTTAATGTTAATATTATTTTTCTCGGATATTTACTTTATATATAGAAAAAGATGACTTACTTCCTTTATGGGTTAATCTCTCAAATGTGAAAAAAAAATTTTCTTTGCAAATTCAAAAGTCATTGATGTCTGTGGTTATTAATAGAAAAAAAAGGTAAATGTTAAACATTTTTAAAGTGCTAATTTTTTAAAAAAAACTTATTTTGAAAATTTAAATTCATAACTAGAATAATGTTTATTGTTCAAAAGTAACAAAAAGAATGCATCTGTTGTTCTTTATTTTATCTTTGTTATCATATTGGGATAACTTTTCCGGTAATTTTTAATTGATCATAATCTGCTATCAAATGTGTTTAAGAAACTTAAAATGGTGCTAGCTTAATAATTTTTTCTCATAATACTTATGATTAATGTTGTTTAAAAAACTAATTATAATTACGTTTGTAATTACGTATGTTTATTTTTATTTTGCTGCAGATGCCATTATACTATTAAACCTTTTTATACTATATCAATATGACTTGCCTAATTACAGTCCCATTAACCTCCTTTCTATCATAAGCAAAGTTTTTGAGTCTTTAATTAACAAATGCTTAATCTCTGATCTTGAATCTAAGAACTTACTTTTTTATCATCAATATGGATTTCGATCTTCTCGTTCTACTGCTGATTTGTTAACGGTAAAAACCGATAGGTTTTATTGTGCATTAGATAGTTTCATACATTAGATAGATAGAGAGGTTAAGGCTGTTGTTCTCGACATTTCTAAAGTCTTTGATAAAGTTTGGCATGCTGGTCTTCTTCATACTCTCTTCTTATGGTGTATTAAGTATTATACTTTTTTACCAATTGTAGTATAAAAGTTGTCCTTTTTGGACAGCATTCTTCTTCATTTCCTGTAACTTTAGGGGTTTTTCAAGGTTCTATCCTTGGCCCTAAACTTTTTTAAATTTACATCAGCGATCTCCCAGAAATTCTCACATCTTATGTAGCATTGTTTACTGATGATGCTACTATTTATTCTTGTCTTAATAAGAAGCCAACACTCTCTGATTGCTTGAAGGGGGCTTAAAGGGGGCTTGAAGGGATCTCACTTCTGCTACAATATGGGGCTGGTGAACTTTAACTCAGATAAAACTCAATTTTTTTCAGTTAATTGTTACCAAAACAATCTAGATCTTCCTTTATTTATGATCAGTAATGTATTTGATGAGTCTTTTTGTCTTCAAGGATTGACTCTTACTTCCAATCTTTTTTGGAAACAATATATATCAAATTGATTGTAAAATTAGCATCTGCTGAGGTTGCATCTCTTTATTGTGCCTGCCACTTTATTACTCAGGATTCTATTTTTTATATCAAATTTTTTGTATAGAATACTGTTACCATATCTGGAGAGGATCTTCGAGTGATGCTCTTTCTCTTTTAAACAAGGTACAAAAACGCATTGTAAACATAGTTGGACCTGCTCTTACAGCCAACCTCCAACCATTATGACATTGTAATGTTGCTTCTCTTTCTCTTTTCTATAAATACTCTAACAGGCGCTGTTCTAAAGGCCTAGCGTATTATGTACCATCTACTAAAATTCGTTCTCGTGTTCTTTGTCATTCAATTCTCATCCTTTTACTGTACTGTTTCTAAGTACTCCATTCTTATTTGTCTAGTTTTTTTTCCTCAAACATCAGTTTTATGGAATTTGCTCCCTTTTTCTTGTTTTCCTGATTCATGTAATTTGCAATCATTTAAGTTTTCTGTTAATTGTTATCTTGATTTATAAACTTCTCCCTGTAACTTCCGACACTAATAGTGGTTGTTGGAAATGAAAATGTTTGAAAAAAATAAAAAGTTATATTTAATATATATATATATATATATATATATATATATATATATATATATATATATATATATATATATATATATATATATATATATATATATATATATACATATATATATTAAATATCATTTTTAAAAATTTTTTTTGAATTAATTGTTGCACAATTTTAAATATTGTTTCTTTGATTAAAAAAAACTTCTGTGCAAAATCTTAGGTGTTTTGGATAATATTTAGAGGTTGCTCAAAGAAAATAAAAATTTACTGTGTTAAAAGCATGCGCTGCAACAACAATATTTAAAAAACTTGAGTTATAACTATGATAAACAATTAATCATTTTCAAAAAATTCCTTAAATAATGCAAATAACATTCAAATGTTGCACTATTTACAAGAACAAAAGTTTCTTCTGTAGCAACAGTGGCATATGCCATCAAGATGCTTTTGCGGCAATCTGGAATGCGTTTTCTGTTGTCCTCAACAACTTGTATTAGTTTCTGCATTTCAGATTCAGTTTTTGTGATAGATAGATTAAATGTGCTCATAAGAGCAACAGAACGCTCAGCAGTGTCATTGATAACTTTCACAGATTTAACAATTGCTTTTGTATAACGAAATTCAGCAATTTCCTTCCAGGTCTTTGGATCGGTTCCAAATGAAATGGTTACATCGAGACCAAGTGATTGCAAAGCAGCAGTCGATGATGATGTAAAAAGCTCATGAAGTTGCTTCTTTTCCAACTTGTTTAATTCTGCTGCCGGACACTTTATACTCCTGACACTCCAATCAGCTCCACTTTGAATCATAGCTTCAACAATCAACTTTTTTTCTGTGTCACATTCCCTGTCAGAAAATAATGAAGTGGAATCATTTC